TACTACTAGTTACCTGAATCTTTTCGATTTACGTTTTGTTATCACTAAAATCAGTTAGTTCTCTACCTACCTAACTTGTAAATATTCTGTTTATTACACGCTGGTTGAGTGTAGCTAACCAACTGCATTACCTCTAGTACCTCACACACCCTTAGTTTTCAATTCAACGGAGGATTAGCCCATGCTCGGTTCCCTTAATAACAGAGAAATAGCAGCGGGTTCGCATACTTCTTTTGCTGTAATCACCGCACTCTAGTACTACTTCAACGACACATTTACTTCCTCAGAAACGTGAAAACATTCCCTCTCAATGATAAACAACTGATGTTTTACTGCTTACACGACCTTAAAACACTTGCTATACCTTGAGAGCTTGTACGTAGACAGACGAAGTTAATTTCTTGCACAAATCAACTGACACTAAAAATCTTAGTAACATCTTCTTAACCAACTCTTTATACCTATTACGCAGTTTATATTTTGGACGTGTCTCCATTACACTCAATGTCATAGTACGCGACCCTTGTCAATACTTACCAATCTTCATCCCCCACGCCCTAGTTACAATTTTGACTATTCATCACATTTTGATGACGTAGACAGTAAGCCTAATTAGTTTTTGTTTGACAATCCTAATGTACACACCCAAAATAATGATATATAAATGCGATTGTACAGCTAGGTGAGTGAATTCGCCGAAAAGAGACTCTTCGCTGAACTTTTTTGTTCTTATATTCAAGTCTAAAAATCATCTTATAGCACAGGTCACCAAAGACAATTTTAATTCACGCTCTCTGAAATATACACACTCGACTTATACTTGTATTAGGTACGCATAGATTCCACCTACGATGTACACACCTACACCGTTCAGATAACTCAACCAGTCCATAAGAAATGGTATTCCGTCAATAAATCACTTTGTTTTTCTTAAAAGAACTTATTACAAACGGTCACGAAATTCCAATGGGCAAGTAGGCTTTTGATTTTCTTTCTTAGGCAATGCCCAAGACGTGTATCACTAGAATATGACGCTGATCACGAAAGATATCCCTTATCTTAAACCATTAACAACAATTGCTCCCTGATAACTTCACAGTCAATAAATTAACTCACCACTATCCCTACTACTTCACTCCAAGTGAATAAACGTGTAAAATTACATGAAAAGTGTTCCACAGGAACTAATGTGTTCCATTTTAATTAAATACGGCTGCCGGCTAGTAAGAACCTCTTAGAAAAGCTGACGTAGTTTCAGTTAAAGCAAATCACCAAACACTTCGACACGATCATCAAATAGCCGCAATGGAGATTGGAAACAAACTGATGAAGCTACGAAAAGTCACAGGCTACTGTCGTACAGTCAAGTCCTATGCACCGGGAAGAGTTTCAATCCATCCTCCATCTCCTGTTCAATTTTTGAGAAATACAACCTTTCCTGTGAATAGCCATACACATCTTAGGAATTTTACCAATGTCAATAACATGCTAATGTCCTAATTACCTTCCAATCTCGGTCACAATAGTCACACTTCTTCAACACGAATAAATATAAACTCAATTAACGGTTCCCACGGATATAGTGGTTGCCATCAGACATATGCTCAAGTAATACCTCGGTACAAACTGTTCTAACGATACGACTGAGCCCCACACAAATCACGAATGTGAATAACGCGGAACACCGCCTTGTAAGTGGCCTTCCCACACTAAAGCGATCCTTCTTTCACCTAAAAACAGCAACAGTCTATCCTGTAACTGTAATCTATTGTTTGATGCCTTAGTCATCGTAAAATAACACTGACTGAAAAACTCACTAGCGTCGACCTGTTTATATCAGATACCTACTTTGACGAATATTCACACTGGCGTGAAATCTTAGACGACAATGCCTTGCCAAAAACTTATATTTGATCATACCGCAAACAAAGGCAGTGTTACGTGCACTGTGAATACTTTCCGATATCAGGTGATTCTCTGAATTCAAAGCACCTAAGAGTGAGATTACACTTAAGTAAATACCTCTGACACATTCGTAATTCGCATTGCACATTAGATGGAAACAGAATGTTGTATTGGCCTAACACTGCAACTAGTACGAATAAATCCGAAGTTTTGTATCGATGATATATTCCCCCTCCCCCAAAAATTCCGTATTATTTTGTTTCTTCGATAGACCAAAGAATATTATAGTATTACTTACTGGATGACAAAGTCCCGTACACAATTTATTGTCCGTAATTATATCAGTCGTAAATGCACATCTTCCTTCTCCAACGCTTTGGTGCTACAAGAAATCTGGAAAATTGAACTACACCACAAAGACCTACGTAGAAAATCCTATCAGTCAAAGAACTATGAAACTCGAGTTTTACATTTCTAGTTCTTTCTTTGCAGTCACCGCCACGATAGAAGTCCTCAAATATTCGCTATACGCATTGACTCATTCCCATTGCATATGTGTTCTCCGTTGATTCCACGAATAATACAGCTTCAGTTTTCAACTTATCTCTCCACCAGATTTCAATAATAATAGCTTACCGCATCGTGCTGTTTACAATTGCAGGTGTAGTGCTTTAGATGAGTTGGTTTATAACTGTCTTGACTTCCTGGGGTCTGCTAGTCTCAATTTCATCAAGCTTATGTGATCCGCTTATATGATTGGTCCTGGCCTATTAGAATTTCGACTTCATCAACTTGATGAAGTACTAGAAAAGAAAACTAAATTTTGTTTAGTCAGCTGCTCTACTAAATCATTTGGACAATTTCTCTCTCTTCCTCTGTACGCCAGCTTCTTCGTGTTGTCACCCGTGTACGCTACCCAAAATATGCCACTATTGTTCTTCGTGGTTTTTAGACATATAATTTCCTATATGCTTTCTGGTTAATTTATCACGGAAGAATTATCAAGTGGCGAAGATTCCCCAAATGCCTGAAGGTATTTCCGATTTCTACTCAGAGAGTTCACCTTACTACGTAGACATTTCACATAATATTTTCATAGTGTGTGCGATGGGATCTCCTTTTGCGTTGTTGCAATCCAACATTGGAAGCTCCTCATAGTAACTTTCCAACTCAAAAGTGAATTGAACTGGATTAATCGTCAGAAACAAAAAATTCGGTGAAGACCGCACAATCGTATTCATATTTACCAAAAACGTGCAATAGTCCATCACTGAGTAATCGAGGACATGACATAATTAATATAATCACTCAAAAGTGGTCTATGCACTACAGGCTTTATGACAAATGCGGATGAAGAACGAGAAATGCATAGAAGCCTAATTTCGAATTATAGAGTAGTTAAAACTAGCCCACCTATGGACGATGAATCGCGCTCAAAACATCATCTGATTAATAACACTATCGGAATGTGACATACTTCCAATACACAAATTTATATGGAATTACATACCACCACAACACACTGTCCAAGTTCCATACGCAACTAAACCATCTATAAACCAAACTTTATGCCATTGACACCAAGCCTATTTCCGCTCAACTCTCAGTTTAAATAAAGTAATTTCTCCTCTCCTCCTAAGGTAACCCGAGGAATCTTCAATTTTACAGACATATAACTCATTTATAACTTGAGCATATAGTAAGACAATAATAGCCGGGTCTAACTCACCGATCATTCAGCATACTTATGTTCTGTATCCATCTTCATATACAACGAAGCTCGCCAAGGTACAGCATCATTTGGAAATCATCAAATGAGTTTAAAATCACCACACTTATATAATGACTTGTAGGCATTATCGCAAAGCCGTTTGATAGTAACTATAATACTTGTCATGAACACGGAAGACAACACCTTTAAATGGTGTCCAAAAGATGATGAATGTGCACGGGAACTTCACTATGTTTATTAACGTCGTAGTTGAAATAACCATGTATGTTGAGCTGCAGCTATAAACGCTACGGTCCTACTAACCTTTCAAATAAAGAGCATTGAAATAAATATTCTGAAATCCTCCTGCCTAACAATAAATGAGGCAAGTGACTCAATCACTATTTGCATTTACGTGGTGTTAGCAATGAGATATAACCATCCTCCGAGACCTACTGATATCACTTAACCGATCAAATCACAGTAGATACGACAGGACACAAATCCGCTGATAAGAATCCGATACACAAATCAATGTTTTCAAGATTTCAAAGCCTATCACAGTTCGCTCCATTCGATCAGACCGATATGTGACCACGAAGTTATTCACAATCAGGGACATACGAGTAACGTTACAAACAAAGGTAATACTGATGCAAATCTTAAATCAGTTACACATAAATTGAAAATTGACCACATGTATCTTTCGTGCTAGTGGTCAACCGGAACAAAACCAAGTTAACAGCTGTAATTCACTTCACATGTCTTTCTACTATCATCGATTCTTTGGGAGCTTATTAGTTTGTGAAATTCTCTCCATGTCACACTCAATATTCCCTCGCGGTAATCTTCAGTCACATGAATAATTCCCTAGATATCAACACTGTTGAATAACTACAATTCTTAAGTCCAACCACATTTATTTCTTTACTGGGAAATAGGAACGAGAAGGAGACAAATAGACAAGTTCATTGACGACGGCTGTCGCCGCCACAGTAATGATGACGACGTTGGTTACAGTAACAATTAAATTGCATCAAATGAGTATAAAAATGATACTTTTTGAAAACAGAATTACATCAAAATGAATTAGACACTGCCTGTTGTTCACATTGAGTACTTGCATTATATGCGTAGTAAATAAGAGGATATTCATCGTCAAATCGACCAATTAGGTGAAAACTGCATCAGGAATCACGGATGACTGGTACTGCATTGCACGGCACGGTACTGTAACTAACGCTCGACACGAAAAACAAATGCTGGTTGGCTTGATTTAATTAATTAAGTAAAGTTCCAGGAGAGAGAGCGCGCGCGCGACAGACAGAAAGTAAATACAGGGAAGAAATCCATATTTGCATGCAGGTGAACACCAGAAATGCGACTAACGTTCCTCGGTAGGTTGATACAAGCGGAAACTAGAGTTGCAACAGATAGAAGGTAAATTGGATTCTACAATTGTAATCTTCAGAAGTATATCATATGTCGGAATAGGCAATTCTGAGATGAATAATCCCAAAAATACACACTCCATTCACTTGTATTATTAATCAAAAATATTCAAATACATATATACATATTTACTTAACTCGCTGTTTGTAGAAAAATATCGAATACACATACATAACCTACATTGGAATGGAAATATCGCATGTTGACAGAATCTCAGATAAATGAGAACCCAATGACTTGCGCGTTAGTGTTAATTACTGCCTTACCCATGTATATGTACTCCGGAAATATTTATTACTGTATCGATGGTTTCACTCAAATCGCTTCACCAGCTGCATAGAAATTGATTTGTATCTAAGATTTCAGATTCCTGTCGATTAGCTTCTGCTTATTAACTGTGTTATGTATAATTCGCCAAACTTATGTGCCCCTGAAATTATTAGACACTAGTAATAAGAATCAGTATCTCATTCTACAGATAGAGAGCCCACAGTTCGCCATAGAGGTAACTATTGATATGTGTATTGAGCCTTTGGTCTAACGATACGCTCACTATGCAAAACTCCTTATTGTGGCCAGCCGAATCCAACAGCTGCATGACGACAAAATAAACTCGTTGTCCGATTACACATCCTACCTCCGACTTCACTTCCTTATTCATAATATGAATTACATACAGGTATATCGACGTCTGTCTGCTCCGATAGCATACTCCTATAAAGATATCACACATACTGATATATAGAAAGCGCCCTTCTGAAGTACTGTTGAACTTGTCAAGTGTACATGACTGACAACCATATTCATTTATACATGAAAAATGACTTCACATTCGTTGTTTGCCGGAAAAGATACGAATCTCGTGAGAAGTGTAATGTGACGAAGTCCCTCTACTCAATTACTCATAATGCGATGTAATCGAAAGATGCATCAATAGCATGTATTGATCACTACCTGTACACATCTGAAGGGGCTCGTACATGACTTTACGCACAAGTGTAAACTGTCCACTATCATTTTATCACATGTACAGGTTCAGTAATATCAGGAGTACGAACTAAAACGAAAATTATTTAAAAACAAGTTACTATCGTAAGGGGGTGAGTTACGTATGACAAAATCAACTAATACATAGATAGAAGCGGCGATGCTCCTAGCAGTGAGCAACTAACTGAAGAACTTGGAATGCTGATAAATTGAAGTCCATATTTTCTTCAGAATTGAAAGATGGAGTGTTTAGGCTAGCCAGCCTTCATCGTATGCATCAGATTGCCTGTTCTCATGGAACCAGTTAATATCGGCTATTGTGTGCTTCAGGAACTTGACTTTGCTTCCTCGGGGAGCATATACTAGTTATGTGGCTAACTAAAGCCGTAATCAGAACTATATTACTAGTTCGATATCAGGACACACCTAGTTCAAACAGGAGATAAAGCTAGTATTGACGACTTTTTTCCAATTAACCATCCAGTGTGAATCGAACAAATTACCAAGGGTCACTGAGGACTGAATACTTCAAATAACAGAAGTTATAGCATTTCGCTTGGAAATGGAAAATTTCAGCCAATATATCCTGGTCCGCTGAAGAACTTATAAATTCATTAATTCAGTATTATTTTTCCTAGTTAATGTGATCCTCAGTTTTATAATATGCTTTTGGATATTATCAATTACAAATGCTTATGAACTGCACTCTACTCCTCTAAATTTTAGGAAAATTAAATATTATTAAAAGCAACTGTTAAGGGCATATGACTGTAGATCCTTATGAAGTTATTTACAGAAAAGACATTCCTCTTACATCAATCAGTTAGTCATTTGAAATTCCTATGGGTTATCATTAATCAATTCATGGAACATGCGCCACCTGAATATAACATTCAGATTACAATAAAAACCGATAGATTCCTAAATGGAACTTTGGATCCAGATTATAGATATACCAGTAATTTTTAAAAAACGTCAGATAGAAAGGTCGTAAAATAAAATCACAACTTAAGCGCTTAAGTTAAATTATTCACAATTTCAATATGCGCATATTAAGACTCACGACAAAGATGAATTAGCAAATGCACATATATATGGATAATTGAAGGGAATAACACATGATAAACATAAATTGATAGGATGCTATATATTACTCACATACTACAATTTCATCATCTAACCAACTCCTCTAATCATCATCATTTCGTCATTCACAAATCTATCTTGAAACTCAAAACCTCATAGTAGTTTTTACAAAGATGCACACTAGCGACTGGCCCTATTCAAGGCCAGTTACCTTGGGTTGTACTGGGAAGCTGTGACAAGCAGGGTACAGCAGGTCGAAGGTGAGGACAGTTACTTATCGAAGACATTGCGAAGTGGTCGCGCTAAATCGCGAATTGGCAGAATTCATGCACTGACCATTGGATTGGGTCCCAGTGGCCTAATGGTTCATGAGCTCGCCTTGTAACCAGAGGGTCGTAGGTTCGAACCCCGGCGGGTGAGTACTGTGAAGGGTCCCAAACCAGGACGAAACAATTGTCCAGTACTCCCAGGTTTTCTCTAAGTGATGTCGGCTCATCATGATGAAATTCTCCAACCAAAGAAATAACTGTCAAATAAAATGCTCACGTCAGAGTCAGATTTTCGGAGAAATTCACTAGCTAACATTAAAATATATACTGTTGCCTACTCAATTTATAGAAGATTACACAACCACTTTTCCAAGAGATCACTTGATATATTGATATACAATGCCTAAATACTGATTCGTTAAAACAACAAAAAGTAATGCAGTAATAAGTAACCGAAACTGGGAACAACATTCGCTTCGCTGATCTATTACCTAGCAGGAAATCGAACTAGACATTCACAGTCCAGGAGTAGTGGAATGGTTTTATGCACCTGGCATACAACTTCCACATAAATCGCTGAATAAGCCTGTTATCATCATCACTGATGTTATTTTAGGCGCTTAATCAAGCCTGCATAAAACCAGTCAAACAATGTCCCTCCACTAGTATTCATATAATCTTAGAGCAACTTTGGTGAAACGACTCACCTCAAAGTTCTCGTGATTTAGTGTTTAGACAACCTGATTCACATAGCTGGTAAGGAACAACTATGAAAATTACCGCATTTCCATATCTCCCGCGGCTAGTCACTTATCTGAGATCTGGCAGGATAACCATTGCTCCCCTACAGAAACAACATCCTATAGCTGGTCTCGTTTGTATTTATATAATTGAAACTACTGTATTCCATTCATCTCATGGAATAACATCCAAAAACTCACAGTCTCTCATTGTATTGTTATCTTCGAGTATAGGACAAAAGTCTTCAACCATCTGAAGAGTAATTAACTATCTGCGTTACTTCACAACAAAACACTAAAACGGGACAGTCATGCTGCAAACTAATGCACTGCGGAATTCAATGAAACACTAATAATAAAGCAAACATTTATTGAAAGGAAACTGAAGGTGTTGTAGTGTCAGTCGCAAGCTATTACTCTGTTGCCTCCATTATCCTATCTTGTTTGGAGAATCATGTATTCAAAAATGAGGGTGTTGACAACAAGACACTTGTCTCCACATACCGGACAAGAATGTCTTCAGAGACGAATCCGTAATACTCCAACCACCGAATTAAAAATCACATAGTTGATCTTCAGTAGATGCCCTCTCTGTTCGTGCTCACAACGCATTTATCCATCTTACACTGGTAGAATAATGTGCTTACTATTTTGATGATAACACGTCCATTTGACACTTATTTTCAAAAAATTTATAAAGACTATTTGTGAGATATTTTGAATTTTAAGGGGGTACACTGAAACTTCCAAATTTTGATAAGTTCAGTACTCCTAATGAATTTAAAAACGTTTAAGTGTCACTATTCACTATTTAAAAATGTTAAGGTATGTTTGTTTGATCTGGAGATAACGACGATCATGACTGGAAATAATGCTACCTACTACAGCTATCACTGAACACATATTTACAATTTTAACAATTAATTTAGTGTTCTCCAGTAAAGTAAATGAATTAAAGTAAATTGATATACATAGAAATATCTCCACATGCCATCCCAATTATCTATTATCTTTACCCATTAGTGCTCTGTGTATAAAATATTCGTTTCCCCTAATAAACATGTAGCATTCTCAGTTTTTAATTCATTGTAGTCCGTTCATTTATTAACAACGCTACCTCACATTCTCTTGTAACAATCATTGCAACTACTTCAACGACCTATTTATTTCCTAAAAATAACTTAAATAGAATTATATATTCACTGAGAATTCATAGAATTACCACGCAAATATGGTTGAATATCAAGTTTCATCTCCACTGACAAACAATAATAAGATTGATCAGTACTCTCCATGCAAACATGAATGAAAAGAACTAAACAAGTAGTTCAGAGAAGAGGCACTTTTCGACAAACTCATTTTCATTAGTTATACAATCTCATTCATAAGAATTTCTTTTCACGAAAGAGGATAGATAATAGTATGAGAGGAATGCCATCATCTTTGACAGGAACATTGGTCGCGGAAATGTTAAGAGTAGTGTTCTCCAGTCGTCCACTGGTCTTCACTTCAGTAGCCCGAAAGACAAGATCTCGTATCTGATCATTTCTCTAAGCTTATATCAGTCCACCGGTTCCCGTGGCGCTAGGTGTATTGGTTATTCGACGCTTATCTTATCTAAAGTGTTCAAGAACACTATTCGTCGCATGGCCGCAGAGGGGCAGTAGTGACTCCATGAGGCGTACGATAATTAGACGCACTGTCAACAGTGATCATTCCACTTCAACAAACTGTTTCTTTCAAAGTTACCTAGAAAGTGAAGAACAACCTTCGTGTCAAAGACAAAAGGCTTTCGTCTTCTCTGCACAGCTAAAGCTTTAACCATTCAGATAGACGACCCTGAGCACCGTGTACAAAAGAGAATTCCCTAACCACTTCAACAAT